AATAAAATTTCATTATTACCTCCGAATGCAGCACGTTGAACATACACTCCTTGCATCGAGTCATGGACCATTTGAATGATTGTTGTTATTGGTAACTCATGCCGGTTTGTTCTTATCCAATTGACGACATCAGGAATATCAATGAATTTAACATTGAAACGTACTTTAGGGGAAAAAGCTCGTACCCATTTTGCAATGGCAATATTGTCAAGCAAGTGAATATCATTCCCATTCACCTCATTTTGTAAGTTGTTCAAAACACGCATAAAAATCAGACATATTATACGCTTTGCATGTCTTCCAGAAAACTGCTCCACAACTGTATTACTTCGGTGGAAGCGTGTATTTTCTCAGTTATATTTTTACAACAATAGCCATGATATGAATCAGGGTAGACTCTCCGAACTACGAAGTCTATGGACTCAGACATATGGCTTATGAAACTGTGACATCCCCATTTTCACGGCCAGAAAAGACCGATTTTGTTTATGCTTTATAAAAATCAGAGTACTTCTTTTAATAAAAATGTTGCGGAATTAGTTCCCAGTAAAACATGATAAATTCATTATCAAAGCATTTCCGAAGAAATGTATTTTTATTCATTTTAAAACATTTGGGATGTCATCGTCAATACAGAAACATAAGCATAAACAGAACTTACATTCATTTACACTAGTGATCTACATCTGTTTTAAATCTCTCAGTGTAAAGTAGCTTCATATTGACACCTGTGATACAAATAAGCTTGAGTGGGTCAGGTTGGGAAACCTGGTGAGTACATAGGGTTTTCAACCCACAATAATATAATTATTATGTTTAAACATCAAACAATCAACCCAATTACCCATCCCCATTATCTTCTTTACTCTTAAGGATCTACCCTAAGAATCAACTATTCCTCATTCATTCATTCCTAAGGATCATCCTAAGGAATCGGCACGAAGTCCATCGTCACCGGGGTTTAGGCACTAAGTCTGCATAGTCGCCAGGATTTATACAATAGACACTAAGTCCTCATAGTCACTAGGGTTTAGGCACTAAGTCTGCATAGTCGTCATGGTTTATACAACAGACACTAAGTCCGCATAGTCGCCAGGGTTTTGGCACCAAGTCTGCATGATCGCCAAGGTTTAGGCACCAAGTCTGCATGATCGCCAGGGTTTAGAGTACACCGGGTGAACACATCGTTCACAACACCTACAGGTTGCGAGCCTGCTAGCGTTCCATTGGACTGTCTAGAATAGTCTGTGGTTGTCATCCATACTCTGCTAGATGACGGGGACATCATTTGGGAAAAAGGCTTCTCACATCGTCCACCTCTCACCCTTACCTCATGGTCTAACTCATCATCCAACTCACATGTCATCTACCAATGTTTTACCCAACATATTATGTAGATATAAATACATATACAGTTTAAATCATATAAAACTTGTATAAAATCGTTCCTCCAGCATAGATAGCAAGTATACAGATAATATGCACACATAGCACGTAATTTATATAAAATACTTCATATCTATGTGTAAGATGAAAGTAACTATGCACTCACTTGAAAAGGTGGTGATTCCGAACTCAAACAGCGCTTCGCTTCTTAAAAAAATAATTTCCTTCGACGAAACCTAGTATTATTACCACTAGAGTTTAGTCTATTATTCGCCGAGACTAATTAATAGTCTAGCTATTATTACTATTATATAAGCGTTAAACAATACTTATATAACCCATAATAATAGCCCAAGTACTTATTATAAGTTCCTAATAACGTTACTATAATTAAATAAAAGCTATATTAAAAATAGCGTAGGCGTAGCTCACTTACAGCAGGTTTTATAGAAAACCGGGATTTGCTTGGAGCAGCGTTCCCGAGCCGAAAATCTCTTCTTCTCGGAGCCTTCGAGCACTCCGGGGCTTCCGCCTCGTGCTAGGGAGGTTCCCTAGGCTTTTCGGGGGGGTTTCGGGGCTAGAGAGAGGTTCTAGAGAGAGAGAGTAAAGAGAAGAAATAATGGGAAAGGTGTGAAGAAAATGAGGGTGGGGAGAGGTTCTATTTATATAGTGAAAAATGGCTGAACTTGGTGCCACATGTCACCATCTAGTGGCAAGACTTGGGGAGAAAGCAATGACCAAGATTGTGCCACATCACCCATTTTCGCACAACACACTTCTGACTTCTAAAATCCGTAACTTTCACATACGACCTCCGTTTTTGACGTTCTTTATATTCACGTGTAGGTAAAAATAAGATCTACAACTTTCATTTTGACTCCGTCGGCTAATTCTCGACCGATCTTAAATTTAACAGTACGAGGAGATTATACTGTTAAATGTCCGCGTAAAATTCATAACTTCTACATACGGACTCTGTTTTCGTCTGTCTTTTTACCGTTGAGTTCCTATTAATGAGATCTTCAATTCTCATTTAGGTCGCGTAGGCCAAAAACCGCTCGATCTAAAATTCGAGTTTCGGGTTGTGCACTACTAAGCCAAATCTTAGAAAATTCATAACTTCCTCATACGAAGTCAGATTTGGGCGTTCTTTTTTAGTATGTTCTCGGTTTAACGTATAATACAACTTTTGTTTAGATTTCTAAGGCTAAAAAGTCCTCCATCGTAAATTCACTATTTACGTCTCCCGGTGTCGTGCCGGTTTTGCCAAAAAACTTCGACGTACCATAACTTCTTCGTTATGACTCGGATTTCAACGTTCTTTATATGTACGGAACCCTTGAGACGTATTCTACAGCTTGGTTAATATTATTTATTCTAAATAATCTTTTGTCAAAAAGTCGTTTTCGACCCCTATTATATCTAAATTGACTAGCCCGGATCTACGGGCGTTACAGAAACCAACTTCCGTACTGTCACCTAAACATTCTTTCAGCCCCCTCATGAACCATACCCATGACTCGTCACAATTTTTGGTTCCCAAAGCAAATGCTATGAGCAGGGGTTCATGGTTTCCATCTAAAGCAACCACAATGTACATGGATGTTATGTACGTCCCAATTAGAGGTGCGTGACCAACGAATATGATTGGTATCATAGGCGTGAGAAACGTACGAATCTGCAAGTAAAGATAAGAATATTAGCCATATAACAACTTCAATAACAAAAAATTTACTATAAAGGATTACATACCACGCATCCCAATGCCACAAAACAAAATTGGAAACGATTGTACAAATCTTTCTTAATGCACGTGAAGGTGTTAGGATTGGTTCTTTGAAGATTATGAAAGAAAATCGGTAAGTTGGAGAAACTTATTTTGAATACCTCATTGACTGAACTCATTTTGATAACTTTCAACAACTTCTAAAAATGAAAATGGTTGTCCAATTTAAACGTAATCCATATTCATTATTCCGCAGAACTGTTTAGGCAATCCGCGGAAGTGACTGAATTGGCAGTCCGCGTAAGTAATGAATTGGCAGTCTGTAGAAGTGACTTGTCAGTCCGCATAACTGACTTGGCAGTCTGTGTAACCTATCTTGTCAGTTCGCATAACTGACTTGGCATTTCGCGTAACTGACCTGTCAGTCCGCGTAACTGACTTATCAGTTCGCTTAACTGACTTGGCAGTCCGCGTAACCTATCATGTCAGTCCTCATAACCTATCTTTTTATATAATAAAGCTTGTATCTATTTGAAATTCACATCTTTTATTCACAAAAGGGATCCTTTCACAAAATGGCATCCAATGTACCAAGTTCTTCGAATGCAGCAAATCCGTCAAATGCAGCAGCTCCATCAAATGGTACACGTCCATGGACGACAACAGAGGTGTTGGTCCTAACACGATGCTAGATTACCTTTTACGAGGGTCTACCGGCAATGGCTCCTCTTCATTGTCTTGTTGGTGATGAATGGTCCCGCCTAATAACTTTGTTTAACCATGAGTTGGGAGAAGGACAAGAACAGGTAAAACCCGATATTTTTAGTAAATGGATGGATTTAAAGATAAAAGTCACATGGTTCAATCGATGCTACAATTATGAGAAAATGCGACGCTCTCATGCAGATGATGAAGAACTTTTTGAAGACGTGAACGGATATTAGATTTTCGAGTTTGGTGGAAATGAGTTCGAGTATACGGACGTTTGGAATCTCATTAAAAATAAACATTTTTTCATTTAGACGACTCTTTTATTTGTAATGTTTTATGTAATGTTTGTCAGTCCTATATCTTATATGTAATGTTTATTTTTATGTTTTCTTTTTGTAATGTTTTTATGTTATTTGTAATGTTTTTTTATCTGTGTATCGTAATATTTTTTGGTGCATTCTGTTTCAAAAAATAAAGGATAAATAACATAATACAAACGCAAAAAAAAAAAAAAAAAAATCAACCATAGTACATATAAATAAAGAAATATAAACACAGTACAAGTTAAAAATACGGGAGATCTTTCAAAAGATTCCAAGGGGCTTCATAGTCGAAAATCTCTCCGTTGCTAATGGATTTGTATTATTCTTTAGCCGCCTCCAAGATGTCTTCCTCAATATCATTCACACGTGCGTCTTCAATCTTCTTATAAAGATCGTTGAATAACACAACTTCTGTTTTCAATTCATACCATTTTGCTGCTATATAAAGCGTGTTGTGATGGTTTTCTAAGGTGGTTTGAGCGTCAGTGTTGAAGGTATTGGTTAAAAGGAGCCAAAACATTGTATCATCCAAAATGTTGTTCTCGTAGACATTAATATATGCACGAGTTAGAAGCAAATACTCCTCAACGGTCCATGGTTTTGAACCCATTGTAAAATATACAAAGTAGATGCAGTGATATAAATTAGATGAAATGATACATATTTTGAGTCATTTTATAGTGAAATATGATTTACGACTGCTCAGTCCGCATAACTGACATGGCAGTCCGCGGAAGTGATTTCGCAGTACGCGAAACAAATATAATAACAAACATAAAACACATATTTTTATCAAACAAAATTACTTAAAACAGGTATTTCATATTAATATATACAAAGTTCCTAAAATCAAGTTATATAGTGTCCCAAATAATATTTGTCATCCCATTTATATATAGAAATCCCGCATCTCTACGTGGCCTATCAATCCTCACTGGTACCCCCAAAACAATCATTTCCATAAAGATGCATACAAATACTCCACAATCCCCTCTATCTTCGATGTATTCCTGCTGTGGCACGTCTATAGTTTCAACAAACTCCACAATTGCATTGTCTTTGTGTCCATCGGGGAAATCGTTCCAGTACTCAGTCACATCTAGCTCTGAGATAATACTATCCCCAAAACTTTCGAATTCTCCACCAATATTTTACTTTGAGAAGAAATTCATAGATCGTGCTGAATCATAAATGTTTACTTTCCAGGTATTTAAATGTAGCACTGTCAAAAACCAATGGACACCAACAACGTTTATGGGGAATAGAACCTGGAAACAAAAAAAATTAAATAGTAGTAAATTCGGTAATGTTATATATATAAATAAATAAATATTAAACTAAACTAACCATATCCACATCCTTCCATTTAGGATAGCCTCCAACACCATTTGCTACATTCCTAAAAAAATGATTTTCCGGGTTGCAAATTGAGTTCTTGAGGGTATATCGTCCACCTTGCGTTCGGCGGCCGTCTTTCCATGAGCAAGGCACTCCATATTGCAATATGCTATACATTTTAAGATAAAAATGTTACTATTATTTATATAAATTATTGTCTAAAAAAGTAGTTAAAATTTAACGAATGTTACCGAAGAAATTAACCACCCAGAGTTAGTAACTGCAAGTAACCGTGATCAAAACTCCACATCCAGTGGGAGTATATGCAGCCTGTGTGTAGTGTTGAGGTTGGAAGAGATCATATTCCATTCTTTCCAAAAACCCAACGTACTAGCAGCATAAAGACTGTCTAACAGTAGATGATTTGAAACATCACTAATGTCTTCATTCACAATGTCTTCATTTGCTTTTTCGGACACTCCACTGCTTTTATTTTTCCTTGGTTTGGTGATTTTCTTCAATTTTGGGGTGGACTCCATCTAAAAAATTAAAATGTTAATTAATTATCAATAACGTAATATTTTATAAATACACCAAATTTAAAATAGATTAATACCACTATGAACGGCGTCCGCTGATACCATGAAGCACCCCTCGTTTGTTGCAGCCTAACAATAGGAGTGACTGTTTTTTGTGATGTTGACCCACGTCCGGTGACGACTCAACATTTTGCTCCGTAGGTGTACGCCCAATTTCCCCCTCCAAACCATGCGTAATGTATCATCATAATGCAACTGTGTACCATGGTAATATGTTTCTTCCTCCTCTTCATTTATTATGTCCTACTCCTCTCTAAACCCTGTATCTGGTTCACTTTTTTCTGTAATACATGGTCTACTTTAGAAGTTAAGTCAGCCACAACGCCTATTAGATGCTTCCAATGCCTTTATGCTCGTCTTCTTCTTCTTTACCGACCTTGTTGATGTGTCGCTTGACATATATCGTCTTTCTACTTGAGGCTGTTGCGAGGTAGAAGCATTTGTGGCCGTTTCAGTCGAAGATGTGTCCGACTTGTACTTCTTTCTTCGAGGAGGCGAGGAAACAATAGGTGGAATTTGTTGCAGTGGGGGAGATTCTTCATGGTTAAGAGTCCAATTCACATAGCGAATATAAAACGGCTCCATGAGCTCCGTCTCGTTTGCCACGACAACAATATGATGGTTGTTAGGCTGCAAAAATCAAATTGTTAGTTTAACATGAAAAAACATTGGAATTTGTAATTATATATAATTATAATATAAAAAGCATACAACAGACACGTTGATTATTTGACGACAATGAACCCAAGATAACGGTGTTTTTCTTCTCCACGACCTCATTGGTGGCAATTTTGTCGGCATTCGAACATAATACTGTGTTGCCTCTGGGAACGTATCCAAAATCCATATCTATGGAAAAAAGAAGGTAAGTATGATGCTATTATAGTATAAAAATGAAAGTACAACAGTATTATATAGTACACACAGAAGTACAATGCTATTATGATATAAAAAACGAAAGTATGATAACTATTTAAATACATTAGAAACTAACCTTAAACGGAAGCACAAAAATGACAACAATATACTTGTGTACTTTCTTCGATTTGGGATTGGTCTGCTTGAATATTCTAAAATTTTCTATTTTCTCAAACATTCCACGCATCAACCCCGAAGTATAGGTCCAGAAATATGTACCCCATGCAAACCTGCAATTTTCAATCTATTTATTATAATTATTATTGTATTTATACACAATTTTTAAATGTAATACCTGTTCCAATCATCTATGTTATCAACAAGGTTGTATACTGCCGCGGGAATGCCCGTTTCAACGTCCCGTCCGTGGAGACATTTCAACATAAAAACAAGTTGGATAAGCATTACAAAATCTTCATCATGAAGTGTCAAATAATTCGGAGACATAATGTAGTCTTCTAAATCTTTGAGCCGAAAACTTGCATCTGTAATGTCTGGGAACAACCGAGCCCGAAGATTTGAATTTGACCGACCTCTTTCGTCATGGAGTAAATCCACATAAGGACCAACTCTTAACCCACTAATCAAAATATATTTAGTTTCAACCAAATCCAACTGCATCCCCTGTATCTCAAAAAGAAACTTCCCCATTTCAAACACTTCTTGACACCTTACTTCATGCAACATCATCAAATGCATAAGTAAGGGGTCACCATTGGGGACATGCATTCCTATGAATCTTCCAACTGGTGAAGCTTAAAATAATGCTCGTTGCGATTGTGTTAGGCGCGGAAAATAGTCTTTAATGATCGTACCGACCATGCCTTTTAAAGTTGAATCTGCTCTTTGATTGAGATCATCGTGCTACAAAACATATACATTTAATTTAATATAAAACGTTAATAATTGAAAATAAAAACAAGATTTTAAAATTACATAGTTAATTCGGTTTAGGCAATAAATAGCAACGTACTTTTAATTTACATTATAAAATTAAAAAAATACCCAATTATACCATTCACATCAATTTACATAAAAAATTAAATAGCAACGTACTTTCAAATTAATTGCTATAAAGGGTTCATTTTGAAATTAATAATTGATATAAAAGGGCAGAGAAAAAGGGGAAGAATGCCATTTTAGGTCATTCCGCGGAGACCCCTCTGCGGAGTGACCTATCCCTCCGCGGAGTGACATATTAGCCATTTTAATCCATTCTGCGGAGAGTATACGTCACTCCGCGGAGTGACCTATCCCTCCGCGGAATGGATCTTCGCTATTTCAAGCCCATTTAATCCTAAATCTAAATCCAAACATTTTGCAGGTTATGAATTGCATTTTCGTATTATTTTAATCTTAAATCTAAACAATACGAAAAAAAGAAACATTAATATAAAGAGGGAAACATGAAAAATACCCAGGAGCCGTATCTATCGGCAAAAAATGTTGGGGAAATTCTGCTCCATCGGCGCCGGAAAATTGTGGTTGAAGTCGTTGTCGCTGGAAAATGACGAGGTTGAAGACGATATCGCCAGAAAATCGGAGGTTGAAGGCGATGCGTAGACACGAAGAACAGATCGGAGGTTGAAGAGGAAATAGGGGGGGACCAGTGGGGGAACAAAGAGGAGACCCGTTTTTTACAAAGAGGGGAGGGGGGAATTACGAAAATACCCCCATTCCGCGAAGATTTCGTTTGTCCGCAGAGCCCGTAGAGGGTGCTCCGCGGAATGCATGTCTATAGCCAGAATTTCGTCTTTTTGTGACTAAATTTTGCAATCCCCACCCCCCCCCCCCCCCAAAATAAAAATGTCTATAGCCGTCTTTTTCTTTTTTGAGTCTTATCTAAAACTAGGCTATGTAGGGGCCAAGTTATTGATGTGAGATGGTCCATAGGGTTTGGTATTCCATTTTTTTTTTATAATTTATTAATAATCATTATACAGAAGCCATTTAATTGGTATACTACTAGGAAAAGACTAATATATTCTTAACCGTTAAAAAAAAAACAAAAGGAAAAGGCTAATATACTACGGGGATGAAAAAGTGAATACGATGGCTAATTTTCTATCTATCATGACTAATTTTACTAGGTATGGCTAATTTATTAGCCTGAAATTTAATACGCCTTAAAACGTAGATCAAATATGGCACATTTGAATCACGAACGAGAGGTTGTTTATTAGTCGAAAATCCATCAAGTACAAATATTTTAAATCAAGTATGATAGCTTAAAATCGACACTCTCTCTTACATTTGCAAGCTAAACAAACATAGAAAAACTACCCTCTTATACATATTTCATACGTTTCCCGTCGGTTTCATTATATGAATGTAAAATCCCAAATTAGTTATTGGCTAAATCAATTTCTAATAGATAACTCATTTTTTAAATGACTTGGTTGCAAATATTCTGCCAAATTTCTCATTAGAAGTATGGTAATGTATATTAATTTTGTCAGTTTCACCATAACTCGTTTGTATTTGTTTTGGTCAACAATTGTTAAACTAATTTTGTAACCAAATTAGTAAGTGTGGTGTAATGTTTTTGTGAAATAAATTTTGTTGAACGTTTAAGATTTTGAAAAATGCTTTAGAACTTGACTTGGCCCAAGAATTTTGGATCAGTGATTAATTATGATTCCAAGGTGTGAAGATTCCGAATAATAAAATGTTTAAAATCCAAGATATCTGATTGGAAAAAGTTAGTGTTTTAGTTGTTTAACATTGACGAAATGTTTGAAAGTGTTTTAAGATGCTCAAAACGTATGTACCTTGATATTGTGATTCAAGATGAATATTGTGTGCCCAATATATGTGTTTCTGTAAATAAGTTTGCGAAAAGTATGTTGATGCAAATATAACAAAAAAACTTATTTAAATGATTAAATGAATCAAACAACCAAATAATAAATTGAAATAAATGCAAAGACACATATATGGGCGAGGAAAACACTTAATTTTTTTAGGATCTCTGACATAAAACCTTGGGAGGTGACAATGTCACATACTCACACTACCTCAGAACTTAAATTAAGTAGAAATCAAGTCACATGTGCTAGTTGATCGTCTAGTAAGTGTTCTTGTGGTCAAGTATGTTCAGAGAGAAAGTGAGAGTGAAAATGAATACGTAAGTGAGTGATAAACAACTAGTCTTTATATACAATATAGATATAATAAACTATCCTAAAATCTCGTATGTTCCTTGATTCTTTCATGACCCGATTTTTAAGAGAGACTTCAACGTTTATTCTTGTTTGACCATGTACCCCTTGACTTGGTTTATATTATTTTGGAGTTTTTACTCATTCATTAAGAAAAGCAATAGACACGATGGCTGAGGTATCGTTTAGGAGGTTGGGGTCCAACAGGGTAAAAATGTTGAGGCCGCCCATGGTTAGAGGAACCATACCCCTCGTTACTGAACTACCTAATTGGGTGTTACGACCACGACCTCGACCAGGAAGGCGATAGGTAGCACCTTGAGAGTTGGTAAGCTGACGATCATCTAATGAAGGGGCTTGAGAATAAACCATAGTGCTTAGGGCGGGGATGTTCTGTCGATACGATTAGTGGTGTTGTTCTAATTGCAACATACTGCGTACGGTATCCCATGACAAGAGACTTTGATTGATAAAGGAGGTGACCTGTCGTATTCCGATGGTAGCCCACATATAAGTTGTAAGACGAGGTGATTTTGAGTGAATAGGTTTTCAACGTTTGAGAGTTGGCCCGTGAGGTCCTTGAGTTTTTGGCAATAATCGTCCAAAGAGGAGGTCGATTGTAAGGTGAGATTGGTAAATACGTGTTCGAGAGTTGCTGAATGAGACCCTTTGTTGTTGGTGAAAATCTCTTGAGTTCATAGCCAGGATTTGCATGCAGTTGTATTAGTGTCCAGTGTCCGGAACTCAAACGAGGAGGTCATCAAAAAGTGTGCCATATATCCAATGAAGGATGTCATAAACTCCAACCCAAGAATCATAGGTGTCGTTGGTTTTAGCACGGGCCAACGTACCGTCAATGTGATAAAGAACCTTATACCCACGAGCACAGAGCTTAAAAATATTGACCCAGGAATGGTAGGTGGCCTTGGCACCTTCAAGAACTCTGCTTTTGTTTTGAGTATTAGTGACAATATAGACTGGATGGGGGAGGTTTAGGTGGTTCTTCGTTAGGATCCATGGGGAGGACAGTAGCACTTGGTTGCAGGAGGAAAAAAAATAAAAAAGAACCTCGAAACCTAGGCTCTTGATACCATGTGTGAGAGGGTATAATTCCTTTCCTCCCCATTGATAATACTGAAACATATATACACAAGATAACAATAATCAAGCCTAACTAATGCCTGACAAATAGGAGGTAATTATTCATCCTAAAAATACAATATATGCACAATATTTACAATATTACTAATAGTTTCAATCATTCAATGGCTTCAGAGATTCGAGAAATATGATATATGAATAAGGTAATGTTTTGAGGTGTAACATCCGAATCTCGAGGTACTTTATATTTTGAAAATTTGGCATTTTATTGGATCGCTACGACGTGGTGGGAAGACACCACGACATGGCAAGTCAAGTTCAGCCCGTATAGATCATTTAAGCCGCCATGGCGTGGCAGTATAGGCCACGACGTGGCAACTAGCAAATGAAAAACACTATTTTTCGAGTTTTGCTTCTTATTAAAAGGAATGAGGATCCTAGGGTTTGCACACCCTCAACCTCCATCAGACCTGTAAAACCCTAAATCCATCTCTCTCTCTCTCTCTCTCTTTCTCTCTCTCTCTCTCATTTTGAGCCTTTGTTGATGTTCTTGAAGCCTTGGTGTTTTTGGAATAAGTGCTTCATGGTGAAAGTCATGTCATATTTAGCTCCTTTGAATCTAGGGCTTGAGATTTTGACCTCGTGGATGGTCTTATCGGATAAAGTTGGACACTTTATCCTTCTAGGCCTTGTTTCAGACCAGATCTGAAATTTGGAGCATTTGGGATCGAAGAAAACAGCTTAATCCATTAAGCTGCTGAAAACCCAGTGCTTACGGCGTGGCGGTAGGGAAAATCGCAAGTGGTTGTTACTGGAGGGCCATGGCATGGCCATAGGTGGCCACGACGTGGCGGTTAACTAAAGTTAACGTTGATCGTTGACTTTAACCATTGACCTTTGGCTTGAGTTGACTTTTGGTCAAGTACCTATTTTAGAGGAAGAGCTCAAGGTTTATTTGGTTTGACTGATTAGGTGGTGCGTAGCAGCGGTACTCTGTCAGTGAGAGCAATAGAAATAGAGCAATTTTCTGTGAGGTGAGTCTTCTCACCATACTATTGGGTCGAAGGCACCTATGTCGGCCCACTGATTCGTATGTGTAGGATGTATGTGACTAATACTGATATGATTGTATGATATATGCATGGAGCCAAATTGGGCTTGGAGTCATTATGGACCCAGGGTTAATACGGACCCGACACAACTACTTATTGTTACACGGGGTTGATACGGACCCGACACAACCACATACTGTTATATTTATGTGTATGTTGTATGTGGTATTTTTGGGGAAGCTCACTAAGCTTTGTGCTTACAACTATGTTTATGGTTTCAGGTATTTTTGGTGCGAAAGGGACGGGCCCGACGTGATGGCACAACATCCCCCATATGTTTCTGCGATTATGATTTCTTTTACTCTGATGTTTTGGATAGTTTGTATCTTGGATGTTTTCGAGACATATGATGTATGGATTGATGAATTTGAAAATGAAAACTTTATCACTGTTTTTGGGATGTTATAAGTTGGTATCAGAGCCTTGGTTTAAGGGACTCGGGCACACTTTCGGGTGTGTCAGAACTTAAACTGAGGAAATAATAATCTTTTCAAAAGAAAAACAAA